TAAAATTCGAAATTGGATAATTCTAAGAATTAAACCACCACAAAATATGTTTAAAAAAGAGAATATACCCCTAAAAGCAAAATAAAAATAAGATTTATATTAAATATCAAACAGGTTTTTAAAATTTATTTATTTATTTTTTTTTATATAATATTATTTATTATTGATTATTTATTATTTATTACATTTAGTAAAAATATTTTATAAATTTAAAACCTTTAAAAATATTTTTATAAATTATTAAATAAAGACAAAATCTTGCTTTAATATATAAAATATTTTATAAATTAATAAAATTATTTTTGGTTTTTGTTTATGTATTAATAAAATGATTTTCGTAAGATTTTTTCGTAAGATTTTTACACAAATACCCGGCGGTGATTATCACCGTATCTTATTTTTAGGTTTAGGGTGGAGTTTTTTAATAAAATGGGGTCAGATATAAAGGTCCAACTTTTAGTTAGGGTTAAGTTTTTGAAGGTTCCGAACATTTTTGCTTAGTACTCCTGACGTGAATTAACTAGTAGCGGTAGGTTTTTAAGATATAGCACCCCGTGATAATCACCGCCAGTTATAGTTAGTAATATTCTTAGTAAAAATTTTAAAAAAATAAATATAGTTATTTGATGCGAAGCATCCAATAACTGGAGGTATTCGAGTAGTTGCTTATATTTAAAATTCTCTAGGTATATCAAAATACTTAAAGCTGTATTTCATGTTTCAAAATTCACTAGACAGATAAAAACAATTGCTTAGATAGGGCGAAGCATTTGAAACAGTTTTTTACGATTGGATAAGTCGAAACACTTTGTGAAGTTCCTTTTTGTATTTTAAAGTTCTGAATGGTTTGTTTTGTAATAAAAACTTTTACACTAATGCTTGTTCACATGACCCTATTTTTATACATATTTTATTTTTATTTATCGTTAGATATTTTTAATTAAAATCTTTTTTTTACTCGCTCCACGTTATGCCCAATCGTCATAATCTGATGGATAATACCGATTTAAGCAAACCAGTGCGCTTTGGATGCCTTAGTTAGAGCTAATGAAATTATAAAGACTTACACTCACAAAGTTTCCGCTGTTTCTGATTCCGTTGCCAGCATTTCTGCTATTACCGCTACCTCTACCTCAGATATTCTAGCCATCGTTTCTCCAGGTTCAACGGTCACCGCCACTTCGGCTCGTGATTCAACGATGTCTTTAGATTCAATCTTAGTTGAGGTCAATGAAAGTGCAAAACCTCGCATTATAATACAAATGAAATTACAAAGGCTCACATTAATAATACTAATGAAATTACAAAGACTAATAATACAGAAATGCACCCTGTCCAGACCAAATTCTTGACCATGTGCATTTAGAGAACAATAAGAAAAAATTGCATTTAGGGAGGTTAAGCATATATTTGAGCCAGAGTTTAAAAGCGTATTTATGGAGGCAATGCATTTAGGGAGGTTTCTCTGTATTTTGAGACGAAATCTTTCAAACTCTTCTGCTCTTCCCATTGCCGTCATCTCTTCTTACAACCAACGTTTTGATTCTGTCACCATGACTTCTGCTATCACTATCACCTCCATCTCAGCTTCGTTTCTTCAGCCACAATGAATACCACCACTTCGGCACCTGTTTCTACTTCTGCACCTGTTTCTACTTTGCATCTACATCTACCGCATCTGCTTCTACTGCATTTATTTCTGCACCTGCTTCTACTTAAAGTTTTCGCAAATATTGTTTGTGTTGAGGAGATGATGGGCATGTAGCTGACAACTGCGCGGCAAAATAAACATTAACAATAGTTATAGTTAAAATATTTTCATTTTTACTAAAACCCATGATGCTTTCTTTATGCCTATGATACTTTACCGATAAAATTGAACGCGCGCTTAAGATCATCGCGCACATAGTCTTATTTTTGAATATAAGTTAATTGTTAACCGCACGTTGTTTTTTTTAGAAATATATAGTATAATATGACATGTTCTAATTTATATAAAAATTCCAATTATCGTTAAATGGCACACATAAAATTTTAGCCAATGTTCATATAACGCTCATAAATTTCTACCTGGATTTTATACACAGTACGTTGCCGTAAAAACTAGATAACAAATTAGTGAATATTGTTTTAAGTAAAAATATTCTACGCGCACTCTAAATACTAACCATAGCGTAAAAAATTTAGGTAAAATTTTATACAGCATACAATAGGTGTAAAACCACATTTTATAAATAATTAATGAATGTTTTTAATCGTTATCCGTATACTCACACATCTAAATCTGAATTTGTGTAAAAACTTGGTCTTTTCGAATACAATCTTGAAAAATAGAACGACACTGAAATATTCTTGACACGATTTTATAATTTAGTATTACGTATATTACACTTTTACACACAAAAAAAACTCAGATTTGCCCAAAACACATGAATAAATGGCTATAGCACATGCACATAAAAAGTTTACATATAAAGGGAATCTAAAAAATGATATAACTGCGCTTTTTTATCGATACTGTATATTTATTTATTATATTATGTGCCTTTTAAAATCTTGTCATTCTTATTCAAAAAATGTATCAAAAACGATACTTTTGCATCTCCAAATTAAGTATTCAAATTCGGTGATCAAATAAGATCGAATTGGAATTGTAACATTTGGTACTTTTTCCCGAGATCAATTTGTGAAAATGTCAAATTTTAAAATAATTCGTACTATCGAAACAAAATTTGGAATCAATGTTATGAAATGTAAATCTAATAGAACTGGGTTATCAGCTATTCTTGTCGATGTTGAAGGTTTGGAATTTATCAAATAAATTCGTAATGTTTCGTATTAATGCAAGATTTCTAATTTCATACTCTAATAGCTCCCTTGGTCAGTGGATTTTTTGCAATCCCAACTGAAGGTAGGTAGAATTCATTTATTATAGATATATTTAATTATCATTAACATTGTCTCAATTGTCTACGAATTCTAGCCACGGATGATGATGGATGCCCTCACACTTTGGAACAGTAAGTTTTATACTGTATAAAAAATGGCATAGATTTCATAAACCTTTAGATTCAATGAACTTTTAATTTTTTTGATATAGTGACCACTTTCTGTCAAAGTAGGAAATAAAATATGATCCACATAAATAGGTAATAATTGTAGAAATCCTTCGCTACCAGCTGTCGTGATAGTGTAACATGTGTGGTCCGTTTCTGTCCAACTAAAAATCATTAGAAAAGATCATATAAAGTTTATACAAGCACAAATAGTGATTACATAAAAGTATATTATATCAATTAAATAATTTACGCATTGGTTCCTTGGGCAAATGCGCGATTTGCCAAACTATCTAATACACCCTAAGTAAATACATAAATTAATATACGTAAGATTGTAAATTATTGATAAATATGAAATATATTTACCTTGTATGGATATAATTCACTACCAAGAAAGACTAAACTATATCAAAAAAATTAAAAGTTCATTGAATCTAAAGGTTTATGAAATCTATGCCATTTTTTATACAGTATAAAACTTACTGTTCCAAAGTGTGAGGGCATCCATCATCATCCGTGGCTAGAATTCGTAGACAATTGAGACAATGTTAATGATAATTAAATATATCTATAATAAATGAATTCTACCTACCTTCAGTTGGGATTGCAAAAAATCCACTGACCAAGGGAGCTATTAGAGTATGAAATTAGAAATCTTGCATTAATACGAAACATTACGAATTTATTTGATAAATTCCAAACCTTCAACATCGACAAGAATAGCTGATAACCCAGTTCTATTAGATTTACATTTCATAACATTGATTCCAAATTTTGTTTCGATAGTACGAATTATTTTAAAATTTGACATTTTCACAAATTGATCTCGGGAAAAAGTACCAAATGTTACAATTCCAATTCGATCTTATTTGATCACCGAATTTGAATACTTAATTTGGAGATGCAAAAGTATCGTTTTTGATACATTTTTTGAATAAGAATGACAAGATTTTAAAAGGCACATAATATAATAAATAAATATACAGTATCGATAAAAAAGCGCAGTTATATCATTTTTTAGATTCCCTTTATATGTAAACTTTTTATGTGCATGTGCTATAGCCATTTATTCATGTGTTTTGGGCAAATCTGAGTTTTTTTTGTGTGTAAAAGTGTAATATACGTAATACTAAATTATAAAATCGTGTCAAGAATATTTCAGTGTCGTTCTATTTTTCAAGATTGTATTCGAAAAGACCAAGTTTTTACACAAATTCAGATTTAGATGTGTGAGTATACGGATAACGATTAAAAACATTCATTAATTATTTATAAAATGTGGTTTTACACCTATTGTATGCTGTATAAAATTTTACCTAAATTTTTTACGCTATGGTTAGTATTTAGAGTGCGCGTAGAATATTTTTACTTAAAACAATATTCACTAATTTGTTATCTAGTTTTTACGGCAACGTACTGTGTATAAAATCCAGGTAGAAATTTATGAGCGTTATATGAACATTGGCTAAAATTTTATGTGTGCCATTTAACGATAATTGGAATTTTTATATAAATTAGAACATGTCATATTATACTATATATTTCTAAAAAAAACAACGTGCGGTTAACAATTAACTTATATTCAAAAATAAGACTATGTGCGCGATGATCTTAAGCGCGCGTTCAATTTTATCGGTAAAGTATCATAGGCATAAAGAAAGCATCATGGGTTTTAGTAAAAATGAAAATATTTTAACTATAACTATTGTTAATGTTTATTTTGCCGCGCAGTTGTCAGCTACATGCCCATCATCTCCTCAACACAAACAATATTTGCGAAAACTTTAAGTAGAAGCAGGTGCAGAAATAAATGCAGTAGAAGCAGATGCGGTAGATGTAGATGCAAAGTAGAAACAGGTGCAGAAGTAGAAACAGGTGCCGAAGTGGTGGTATTCATTGTGGCTGAAGAAACGAAGCTGAGATGGAGGTGATAGTGATAGCAGAAGTCATGGTGACAGAATCAAAACGTTGGTTGTAAGAAGAGATGACGGCAATGGGAAGAGCAGAAGAGTTTGAAAGATTTCGTCTCAAAATACAGAGAAACCTCCCTAAATGCATTGCCTCCATAAATACGCTTTTAAACTCTGGCTCAAATATATGCTTAACCTCCCTAAATGCAATTTTTTCTTATTGTTCTCTAAATGCACATGGTCAAGAATTTGGTCTGGACAGGGTGCATTTCTGTATTATTAGTCTTTGTAATTTCATTAGTATTATTAATGTGAGCCTTTGTAATTTCATTTGTATTATAATGCGAGGTTTTGCACTTTCATTGACCTCAACTAAGATTGAATCTAAAGACATCGTTGAATCACGAGCCGAAGTGGCGGTGACCGTTGAACCTGGAGAAACGATGGCTAGAATATCTGAGGTAGAGGTAGCGGTAATAGCAGAAATGCTGGCAACGGAATCAGAAACAGCGGAAACTTTGTGAGTGTAAGTCTTTATAATTTCATTAGCTCTAACTAAGGCATCCAAAGCGCACTGGTTTGCTTAAATCGGTATTATCCATCAGATTATGACGATTGGGCATAACGTGGAGCGAGTAAAAAAAAGATTTTAATTAAAAATATCTAACGATAAATAAAAATAAAATATGTATAAAAATAGGGTCATGTGAACAAGCATTAGTGTAAAAGTTTTTATTACAAAACAAACCATTCAGAACTTTAAAATACAAAAAGGAACTTCACAAAGTGTTTCGACTTATCCAATCGTAAAAAACTGTTTCAAATGCTTCGCCCTATCTAAGCAATTGTTTTTATCTGTCTAGTGAATTTTGAAACATGAAATACAGCTTTAAGTATTTTGATATACCTAGAGAATTTTAAATATAAGCAACTACTCGAATACCTCCAGTTATTGGATGCTTCGCATCAAATAACTATATTTATTTTTTTAAAATTTTTACTAAGAATATTACTAACTATAACTGGCGGTGATTATCACGGGGTGCTATATCTTAAAAACCTACCGCTACTAGTTAATTCACGTCAGGAGTACTAAGCAAAAATGTTCGGAACCTTCAAAAACTTAACCCTAACTAAAAGTTGGACCTTTATATCTGACCCCATTTTATTAAAAAACTCCACCCTAAACCTAAAAATAAGATACGGTGATAATCACCGCCGGGTATTTGTGTAAAAATCTTACGAAAAAATCTTACGAAAATCATTTTATTAATACATAAACAAAAACCAAAAATAATTTTATTAATTTATAAAATATTTTATATATTAAAGCAAGATTTTGTCTTTATTTAATAATTTATAAAAATATTTTTAAAGGTTTTAAATTTATAAAATATTTTTACTAAATGTAATAAATAATAAATAATCAATAATAAATAATATTATATAAAAAAAAATAAATAAATAAATTTTAAAAACCTGTTTGATATTTAATATAAATCTTATTTTTATTTTGCTTTTAGGGGTATATTCTCTTTTTTAAACATATTTTGTGGTGGTTTAATTCTTAGAATTATCCAATTTCGAATTTTA